GCTCCTTCACTCCTCATTTTTATCTAACTTCCTTTCCATATAGTATTTATAGTTCAATAATTTTATCTAACTCATTTCCACATAGATTTTACATCATTTTTGATATACAGTGGTGCCCCGCTTGATGACGATAATCCGTTCCATTAAAATCGCTGTTAAGCAATATCGTCGTCAAGCGAAACAAAAAACCATTGAAATGCATTGAAAACTGGATCAATGCTTTCCAATGAGTGAAATACCTCATCATCCAGCGAAGATCCTCCATAGGGGAAGCCATTTTCGGTTGCTGTCTTCCAGAAATAGGTCTGGAAAACAGCAGGCGGCCATTTTGAAACCCAATGATCAGCTGTTTTTTATCGTTGTAATGCGAAGAATCGGTTCCCGAAGCAGGAAAATGGATTTTCTCCTTTGAATCATCAATAGCAATCACAAAAACCTCATCGTGAAGCGATTTCGTCATGGAACGGGGTAATCGTCAAGTGGGGCACCACTGTAGAGCCTTTTGGTCAAACTCTGGCTGTGATTCTGAGTGATTTTGAGATCATGGTTTCTGACGTTAATACATAGCCGTTGCCATAAGACGTTCGAATATTTCAGCCTTTTAATCAAGGAACACTTTTTTTACTAATCTGATCAGGGAAAGAGACACCATCTGAACAGTCTATCCCTGGATTGAACTCCCTCCCAGCATGAACAAAATTTTTTCTAAAACATAGCAAAGAGTTCAACAACAGCTGGGAGACAAATATGTCAGTCTGCAAGAAGGCAATAGGAACGAGACACCCAGGAAGACCTCAAAGGCCATGGGTGTCTGAATCTAAAGATGCACTGTCTGAGATGGGCATATCTGTCGTAAGCGTTTTTGAGAACTGTGCTCCCCCTTCTCTAATATAGAGGCTCGGGGGAGCAATTTTCCAACTTCCTGCTTGTTTCGTCTCTCCCGCAGGGGCCGGCGCGAGGCCAACGACAAGTAGTCCTTCATCTCTTCCTTGCTGTGGAGACGCCGATCTGGTAGGGCAAAGGCCTTGCATATTTCGATTATGTACTGTATTTTATGTTTACAATTTGTGCCTAACTGCTTATTTAATGTACTACTATTATATTTTTGAAACAGAATAGCGTACAACACTTAATGGGGCAGAGAGAAAGAGTGAGAGTGTATTGTGTATCTGGGGTGTATGTGTGTATTAGTAAATGAATTTGTAAAAATTCCTAACAAATCCCTGTACATTCAACCACTTTTGCTCTTATTCAGTCTGACATTTTCTTTTTAATGAAATGCTCCATTTGATCAGTGCTTACGTAGAAGGCTGGTATAGTATGGTCTTCCCAGTGTGATAAAGAGCAATACCTAACCATCCGTTTCCATGTCCAATACAAAGTCCTGTTTATTACCCTATAAAAATCTAGATGGCAATCTGAAGGACCGTCTCTCCCCATGTGAGCCTCCTCGGCTCTTAAGAGCTTCACAGGGGACCCACCTCTGGGCCATCACAGGTACACCTGATGGGGACACGAGAAAGGGCCTTCTCTGTGGCAGCTTCAGTTTACTCAGGAGATTGTCCCTTACTTTACTCCCTCCACCAACAGCTTCAGACTGGCTTTTACTAGCTGAGTCTTGAATGCTGGTTTTTACCTAGTAAGTTTGTTTTTAAAGATGTAAATGTTTTTAATTCTTTAATATATTTTAAATCATAGTTAATTCCTTTTTAATGTATAATTTATGCTGTTTTAAACTCTAAGTTTTTCCCATGGTGAGCTGCCTTGAGTCCCTTCCTTGGGAGGAAGGCAGCCCACAAGTAGTGGGTTGTTTGAGGTTTTCCAAAAGTGAAGGTGGAGACACCAGGAATTACTTTCCCATCTCTCATCCCAAAGCCCGGATTATTCTAGCATCCTGTTGCTGACAGAGGGTCCCTGGTTGCCTCAAGGAAGCTGACAAGGAGGGACGGTG